GTGATGAGGGTGGAGTTGCGGTTGAAGCCCCTCCCACAGTCGGGGCAGTGGAAGGGCCTCTCATCCGTGTGAATCCGCTGGTGCAGGAGGAGATTGGAGCTCTGTGAAAACCTCTTCCCACACTCAGAACATTCGTAGGGTTTCTCCCCTGTGTGGATGCGCTGGTGGGGGATCAGGTCAGAGCTGCAGCTGAAGCCCTTCCCACATTCCCCACACTCGTAGGGCCACTCCCCAGTGTGGATCAGCCGGTGACGGATCAGGTTGTTGCTCCTGCTGAAGCCCTTCCCACATTCCCCACACTCATAAGGTCTCTCCCCAGTGTGGATGCGATGGTGGCGGATCAGGTTGGCACTGTCTCTGAAGCCCTTCCGACATTCCCCACACTCGTAGCGCTTCTCCCCAGGATGAGACTGCTCATGGACCAGCAACTCTGACCTCTGGCTGAAGCTCTGGGTACCTTCCTGGCACAGGGTGGTTCTTTTCTCCTTGGAGCACTCTGGGCTGGGTTTGGAGCCCCTTCTTGCGCAAGGTTTCTGGCGCTTTTCCTTCTCATTGGATTCCTGTGCCCTGGAGCTGCACAAAACGGCCTCTTCCATGAGGTTCTGCTGGGGGGATTTGTCCTCCTTGGTCTCCATCCTCAGCTCATTGTCTGGGGGAGGAAGGACAAGGAGCGGGTGGGATTTGCTGACAGAGGGAAGGGGAAGGAGATCCCCCCAATCCATCCCCGGCAGGACGGCATTGGCAGTGGGGTTGTCCTGCAGCCAGGGCGATGCTGGACTGGGAGATGGAGCAGGAGAGAGGGGAAAGGACAAGTGACTTCCTCCTCACCTGCCTGGGGGTCCTGGGACATCCTCCTCTTCCTCACAGCCTTCTCCATCCAGCCAAGGTTGGGGAATGGGAAATCCTGATTGGGGGAACAAATGAGGGATGAGCACATTGAGTTTGAAGGTCCCTCTGCCCAAGTCCATCTCTAGAAGTTACCAGGCATCTAGGGTACATAAAAACCATCACAACACCAACATGCAGCCCAAAAAAAAAGACCTCCAGGAGTTCCCTGTCTCTGCTCTCTCCCCGTTGGGGTTTGGGGGTTACCCCATGTCCTGGCTTCTGAGGGTCATGCTTGTATTGGGGGTTCCCCTCTCTCCTTGGTCCCCAAGCTCCCCAGGGTGCTGGGAGTCCCAGGAATCTGAAAAGTTCCCCCTCTTCAGTCTCCCCTACTTGGGGGTGCTGAGGATTTTTGGAGTCCAAGACATCCTTTCCCCCTTATTCTCTGTTTTGGGGCACAAGGGGTCCAAGGAGTCCCCCCTCCCCCTCTCCAGGCTGCTCAGAGTCCCACAAATTGCGGCGCTCCCCTCTCCTTGGACTCCCCACTTTGAGGTGCTGGGGGACACAGGGCTCTGCTCCTCCCCACTGCCGGGGTTGCCCTGGTCCCACTATTGCCCCTCTCCGCTCTTCCCACTCCGGGGGTCCTGAGGTTGCCCCCTCCAGCTGTCCTGGGGGTCCCACAGCCTCCCTGGCTCCAGGCTGGAGGCAGTGGTGCCTGACCTGGGCAGACCAAATCCC